GCGATGGGACGCATCCTGAACAAAGACCTGCAGGTGAGACGGGTGTCTGGTGGGTGGACAGGAAGAGCAGGGCTAAATTAAAGGAGGGACTCCCATTTCCTCCTCCACAGATGTTAACTGGAAAGGTTTGACATTTGAACAGTCCTTGAACTTTTGGTTTCAGCCTCCATAGAAAAGCTTTATATAATGTTGTTAGTTCATGTGGATGCTGCTTCAATAACTTTGAAGTACTAAACACATTTCAAAATAAAATTTTAACTTAAAGTATAACTCTGTGTACTGAAAACATGTGGACTATTTGACAAATCAAGCAGTTTCTGACTGATTTCTATGCAGCTTTTATCAGATTTTTATCAGATACTTCCTAGGTGCTTTAAAGTACTGTGAAATATAATGAAGGTATATCTGCTGAAAACACTGTAAACTCATGTGTTTGCAGGGAGGAATCCATGGGAAAATCTCACTCACTGCTTATGTAGTAGCAGCTCTCCTGGAGACAGGGATAAATACTGAGGTAAGCAGACAGAAATGTACTTTTTGTCAGGTTGTACCTCTTAGTACTGCTGTTATTTAAACCCAGTGCTGTGGTGTAAATTAATGATTTGATCAAAGAGGAAAATCTTTGTAATTCAAGAGGGGAAAACTGTGTTCAAACTGCACCACAACTCAACCCCCCCCCACCCCCCCAAACCCTGGTCATGTGTGGACTTATCGCTGCATTCCCGATTTAAGTAAGATGGATATGTTGGCAGTCTGTCTACTCATATTTGTTATGTTCCACTGCAGCTCATATAATATTTAAACACATTTGGGCACAGGTGAAGGGATTAATCATTCTTAGCAAAGACACAAAAGAAGAATTGTCCTCTCTGCGTTTTATACTTTTTAACTTCCATCCCACAGATATTCACCAGAACAACTTTCCATGTAGTCCCATAAATATAAATTAGAAATAAAGATGTTACAGCTGCCTGTGAAAGTGCTGCAGCTGCTGCTTTACATTTGTCCTCTTATTTTATTTATTCTTTTTTTGCCCCTCCCCCACCCCCCACTCCTCCTTTGTACCTATATCCTCTGATATCTGCCCTAAAGGACCTCTCCTTTTGCAAATGATAAAAAAGTGAAACAGTACCCTTCACTTCAAAGCCGTACTATTACCCCCTTTAAATTCACTTAATTAAAAGATGGCTGCTGCAATTACCGTGAGTGGCTGTGGAGGGAGGCCTGTCATCTGGTGGATGAGAGGGAAGGTCACATCTGCTGCAGATGAAAGTAAACCCTTTAACTTTTTAATGGCCTAAATTAGTGTTTATTCAAGAAGTGTGTCTGAAGAAGAGGTGGTTGTGGGTGCCGACGGGTCAGCCCCTGAGCAGGGCACGGCATGTAAAGACTACATCTGATGATCTGATGGTAATACGATCAACCCTGAAGGAAGTGTGTCATTCTATTATGGTTACACTTAATGCAACCAGCTGCAAACATGTTGATCACCAGTGTTTTAAACCCTTATTTGTCGTAGTAAAATTAAGATCTGAAGCATGTACAAAAATAAAGAAAATAAAACCACATTAGTACCATTATAATGAAAATAATAATAATAATAATAAATGTATTATTTATAGTTATTCTTATTTAATTGTTTTAATTGTATTATTAAATATGATTTAGGCCATTGTGTGTTGTTATTGTATATTTTTATATTTATTTATATTTTTATAAATAAATATACACTTTATTTATTTACATATATATACATATTAACATGCTAATATAAATTACCATGCTGTTTTTCTGGACCCAGGAAGAGAAGGTGGCAGTAGCTAAAGCCAAGAATTTCCTGGAGTTGAACACATACTCTGCAGATGACCCTTATACAACAGCCCTGTCTGCATACACACTGGCCCTGCTCCGCAGCCCTTATGCCCCACTGGCCTTACGTCGTCTTAACCACATGGCCATCACTCAAGGTATTGTCACACGTTTCACTTCATGCAACAGGATAGAGAAAACACTAGAGGCTCATTCATTGACAGATGTTAAATTTGTGTAAGGAAAAGAGTGGGATTTGAACTGAAATGTGTCAACAACAAAAAAAAAATCACAGTACACCGTGTCTCAAACCAGGACCTGTTATGGAAACAACAGTGGAAGCAGCTGTTGTAGTCCTGACGCTGGCTCAGTCCACTCATCTGTTTCCTTTTTGTTCTTATCTGGCCGTTGACTTCCACTGGTTATTTCCTTCTCTGCTTTCTGCAACTTTTTGCAAAATGGGCTTGAGTTAGTGGGAAACAACAGTGTCCACGGCTGACCACAATCATTTTATTTAACAAGAACATTGGAGAGACAGAACCCTTGTTATAGTTAAACAGCAAGATACTGTCAATGGAGTGATTACAGGATCTTCCCACTGCACACTGGTTCATCCAACTGTGTGTGTCTGTAGATGGACTCACTCACTGGAGCCTGACAGGCAGCACTATGACGGACGAGGACACCTTCATGGGCTTCAGTGATGGCCTTTCTCAGTCAGGTACACTGGTGCTCCATTGAAACCACTCTTTCTACCCAAAATGCAAAGTTTCCATCCAGTACCTGTTCTTTCCCAGTGGTGTCAGCAGAGGTGGAGATGACAGCCTATGGTCTTTTGACGTACACCCTGCTGGGAGATGTGGCGTCTGCCTTGCCTGTGGTCAAATGGCTGTCCCAGCAGAGGAACGCTCTGGGCGGCTTCTCCTCCACGCAGGTACAACATTCTCCACCGGCTTCACATCTGTTCACCTCTTGAAGCTGCGTCACTGTAAAGCTGTCGTTCTGTTCCAGGACACTTGCGTGGCTCTACAGGCACTGTCAGAGTACGCCATCTTGTCTTATGTGGGAGGGGTCAATCTCACCATCTCGCTGGCTTCCACCAACCTTGACTTTCAGGAAACCCTCGAACTCAACAGAGACAACAAAAAACTCCTACAGCGTGCCAAGGTACACACATCAGGGCAAACCATGTCCAATAAAAATACTTAATTGTACTTCTGTTGGTTAGATAAAAATATAATATATTTTCCAACATTTATTAAGTTATGTTTCTCTTTGCTAGTACAGTCCAATCCAATCCAAAAATGTGTCCCTAAATGTTAGCAATGCTCTGACCATACTGTTTCAATGGCGAATCTGTTTTGATTATACTTTATATTTTAGTATCTAGTATTAATATTTTATTTTATTTGTACTTTATTTCATATGTATTTTGTTTTCTATATATTATTGAATTTCCAGTAATCTAGCTGCCTAGTCATCCTTTATGCAGATGACACCCTTATGTTTGTTTAACAGCACCTGGTTTAAAGTTATTGTTGAACTGGTATGGACCAGAGTTACTCTTTGACATTGGGTAGAGAACTTTGCTGTATGTTTTTAATGGTTGACATAGTAGTCAGAGTCGAACTAACTTGAAGCTATACCTGCTCCATCTGTTGATGTGGCCAGTATGAGCCCTCTAGCTGTGATATTCCAAAGTGTGTTACTAGGTTACTCTGTGTTTGTTTGTTTACATGCAGCGTGCTCTCTCTCTCTCTCTCTCGCTCGCTCGCTCTCTGCCAGACATGTTCTTTCACTTCTTGTTGTCGTCTCAGTTTAATTAGGGCCAATAAGGCCCAGCTGTTTAGTGACATGACACGAGTCACGTTGCATCAATCTGTGGAATTCATTCTTTGATAAATGACTGACCGACTTCTTCAGTTTTACCTAAAACATGAATTGTTTGCTGATTTTTGTTTCCTTTTTCCTCTTCACAGATCCCCAGTATCCCCACAGGCCTTTTCGTCAGTGCCAAAGGAGAAGGTTGTTGTCTGATGCAGGTATTTCAGTTTGACAAACACAACCCCCCAAAACACAAACAGATGCATGAACAAAGTTGAACATTTCTCAACAGGAACTCAAATTATGTTTCCATGTGTTCTGGACTCTCTGTCCACCTGACTGTTAAAAAATGTCCGTCTCTTGGTCGGTCAGTAAATGCATCACGTAGAAGAGAAAACAGTGGTAGGCTAGAAGCTGCATTTAAATCAAGATAATTTAATCTGGAAAAACTAGTCCCTATAGCTTTAAAAACAAACAAGAATATATTCACCCACTAACAGGTTCAACAAAGTCCGGATCTTTCCGTACCATTGAATCCATTCATCATCGCTGTAGCTGAAACTATTCCACCAAACCTTGAAGGAGATGAAGTGCATCTCCTCATCTGCTGAGCTGTTGTCAGAATTCTACACACACTTCTGTTCACATCAACACACCTCTCTGACAGCCCCTCGGGGCAGCAGCACCTGGGATCTAATGAAATACAAGGGCTGTGCCTTCACACACCAGTTGCCTGTGTGTGTGTGTGTGTGTGTTTGTAGACAGTGTATGTGATGAGTATTTATTAATGTGCCTCGGGAGCATTATTTAGTAGCTTTCAAATCTCACTAGATGATTTATTTGCAATTTGTACAGATCTGGCAACAGTGATCTCCGTGAAATTAAAATGAGCATCAAAGCTGCACACTGACCCCGGGCTGAAATAGTAGTCTGCTGAATGCATGTCTGGTGTCTAGTGAATGTGATTTGTGGTTTATGCTTTAAAGTGCTGCACATGTCTCTTGGTCTAAGCTGCTCAAGGCAGGCTGTTGTAAATACGTGAACTAATTCCAGTGTCTTATCGATGTTTGATGACGGATGTGGCCGTCGTACAGTACAGCTGACGACAACAGTTAACCAAGTTAACCAGCAGTTACTAACAAGAGTTGAACTTTAACTGGGAAATCACAAGATAGATAGAACTTTGTCAATGTCTCAGGAGTAAAAAGGATAAAGCAGAAATAACATTAAATCATAAAATAACGTAAAAACAAAATGTACTTAGTTATCACACATTTTAGTAGAATTTGAGTTATAATTGTTGAATGTAATTATCTTGAGATTTCATCATATTAATAATTCCATCGTTTTTGTTAGTTCGAAAAAAACCCAGGTCTAACTGCTGATATCTGTCTTTCTGTCCAGCAGGATACAGAGAAAAGGTGATTTATCTTAACTAATCATGAATAATCATGATCAATTATTACATTTATCTTAACTAATCATGAATAATCAATTATTATATATTTCGTAGTGATTAATTGTCAGCTACCTGGATTAGTAATCATACAACAAACATTCAATCACTGGTGTTGACACATTTCATAGACACATTTGTGGTTTTTAAAGAAATGTATTTTTATATAACAAAAGCTGTGATTAATTCATCAAACCATGAAAATATTATACTCAAAAAAGAGGTTAATCTGATGTCACAGTGTTACTGTTGTTGTTGATCTGCTGAACTAATAATTCATAGGTTACAAAGATCTGTGCAGAGATGCAGCTCTGTTTCCATGGTAACATTCCATTGATTACCCTCCGTAGGGATGGAAGAAGATTAGTTCTTCTCTTGCCTTGTTGCCTAACACGTATGTATAATATATATATAATATATATAATTCTTTGGGTATTTGGCCTCTCTCTGTGTCTGCAGATTGACGTCTCCTACAATGTCCCCGACCCAGTGTCCAAACCGGCCTTCCAGCTCAAAGTGGATCTGAAAGAGCCCATTCATGAACGACACCTGCAGCCTCCCTCAGTCTCCTCGACTTCCCGTCATTCTCCCCTGCGTTCCCGCAGCCGTGTGGACAATCGCTCTGAGCTCAACCGGAAGCGTCGCACCCCAATCGATGACGATGACCCGGCTGCCCACCAGGACAAAATGGACTTTCACATCTCTCTAGAAGTTTGTGCTAGGTATAAAATATAGACTAAGCTAGGCTGTATCTTCATCTCTACTGTTGAAGAGTTGTCATCATTGAAATCCTGACTCCGTTTACAGGTGGCTGCACTCGGGATCGTCCAACATGGCCGTCATAGAGGTTCCAATGATTTCTGGATTTAGAGCTGATGTGGAAAGTCTGGAAAGGGTATGTACTGTAATCACACTAATGCTGAGTTGAAACATCAGTACTGGAATTGCCTGTCATTATTTTAATTAATTTTGCCAATTACAATATGAATAATATAACTATAATTCTGCAAAAGTGCACAATTGTTTTGTAATTGTTATTTTTAATCAGAAACATCTCCTATAGATTAATTTGCAAAATGGTCCTGGAGATGTGAGCATGAAGCCACGTTGGTCAAGGTCAGGAGAGTCGTCATGGGCCCGAAGGTCTTTTTTATTGGAAGTAGATGAATGAGCATCTAACTGAGGCCCAGTGGAGCTCCAGCGTCTCAAGGTCAAAAGTCACAGGGCCTCTGTGGGCCCACAAGGTCCAGTCAATCATCTTAGTGGGCCACATGAGGAGCCCAGCTGAGTGTGTGTAAAGGAACTGAATACTGAATGAGTCGTTGACTGAATTAAGATATAAATATATATATATATATATATATATATATATATGTCCATGGAGAGAGAGAGAAGGGGGAGAGATATTT